AGAGAGAGAGAGAGAGAGAGAGAGAGATATATATATATATATATACATATAGTTTTTCATGTAGAGAAATATAAGAATTTTAAATATTATATAGATATATGTCCTGGCAGGTCATGGGCCGACGAAGTGGAAAGAAGGACGAGGAGCGAGGCCGCCACCGTTCCCGCTCAAGCAGCCCGGACCGTCGACCCAAGCCCCGTCGCAGACGTCGCAGCCCAAGTAGCGACTCGCAGTCGAGCTCCTCCCACGGGGCAGCAGCGACGGAGAGGGAGAGAGCTGAAAGAGTTGACGCCATGCGAGAAGCGGCGGAGAAGCACCAGGCGGAGGAGACCGCACGACGTGCAGCGGAGGCCGCGGCGGCAGCAGCGGCGATGGCAAAGGCAGCAGCAGGAGTGCCGGAGCCCGTTCTCCCTCCCTCAAGTGAGGCCCGAGCAAGGAACGAGGCGAAGGCTGAAGCCTTGCGGGAGCACCTCCTGAGAGCCGAGGACCGGGACAGAGAGCCGTCTCCGACTCTGGGCAAGCACAGGCGAGGTCACCAGAGGGGAGGTGGAAGAGCACGAGAGGAGCCGCAGCCCAAGCAAGCCAGCCACGGTGCGGAGCATGTCAGTAATGACGGCAAAGGCACCAAGGGTGCGGCCTCCCCGGAACCGGGCTCGCCGCACATATCAATGCCGGCGTTGTGGCACGTACATAGCGCCAACGAGGCATGGGTTCAAGAACCATCGTCGCTCCGCCGCATGCCTCGCCTACCGTCAGTGGCACGACGGGCGGCGTCCCTGGAGCAGCTGTCTCAAGCACGGAGAATGGGAGCACCAGGAGTGGCTGGCGGGTAATGGAGGAGCGGACACGGAGACTTCTGAGGATCTCCGCCGCGAGATCGAGAAGGAGGCGGGGCCGAAAGAGAAGAAGAAGCCAGCCCCGCCTCCACCGATCATCGATCTCCGCCCTCTGGCCAAGCGTGACCCGCGGGATCCACCCCCAGGCGGATCGGGAGGCGGATCGGGATCGCGGGGCGGTGGCGGATTGGACCAGCCTCTGGGAGTCGACACTCCGAGCTGTGCTGTGAGGCAGCACTCCGGAGCAAGCACCCTGCAGCCCCTTGAGCTCCCCGCCTAGTCTTGATGGGTTGTAGCTCAGGGCTGCTGTAGAGTAGCCGAGCCGGCCTGTAGCTCCCTGCGAAGCCCTGCATCTGCAATCGCCTCAAAGAGCCCTAACATAAACCCTAAACCTGAAACCCATATATATATATATATATATATATATAGACACTAAACCCTAAACCCAAGGAAAAATTCAGATGCAGGGTGACTCCAGGTCGTAGCTGACTTCGCAGGGCCTCGACAGGAAGATCTGCTAAGCCAAACAGGAAGCACCCCCGGAAACACTCAACCCTAAACCCTAAACCCTAAACCCCGGAAGCCCTCGGCCCCAGTACAAACCCAGGACCCGGCATGAAGAAATAAAGATAAGATCATATAGGGAGCCCCATGGTTGAGTGCTTTAGGTTTTTTCTAAAGCTGAGTGCTTCTAAAACTCTCGCCCGGATCTGTCGAAGCCCAGTCTTAAGTCGTAGAGTGGCCAGACGGCGAAGCGGAGCACTGCGAGCTGGAACTCAGAGAAGAAAAGGGTGGAGCTTTTTTTTCGACAGGGATTCTGTAACTATACAAACATGTGCAAGCAGGTTGGTGTAGCCGTGATGTTTCAAGACAGTGCCCTCTAGTATAGAGTCCATTTTGGGAAGCAGCTGCAGACCTTGGGCCTCGGCATCGGCAAGGCCATATATATATATATATATATATATATATAGACATGTCTACTCTCTCTCTCTCTCTCTCTCTCTCTCTATATATATATATATATATATACATATACATCGCGAAAGCCGCAGAATCCCCAACCGTGTGGCACAGGTTGGGCTCGGCAGAGATGGCGAAGCAATGCTTTTCTCGCGGTGAGCTTTGTGCACTGCAGCAGTCTCTGCTGCAGAGTTCGCTTCCCCCTCCTGGGGATTGGCTGGACTTTGAGGCGGAGGCGGTGCGAGAAGCACTCTACTGGGCGATGAAGAGTGCTGATGAGAATCGCGACAAGTCCGCTCGCGTCATAGCAGCACTGTGTCTCTTAAGATTCCAGTGGGAGGACCTTCTTAAGGAAACCGGAGCGGATCATGGCCAAATGTACAACGGATACAGCTATGTGCCGGCAGAGCCTGAGTATCCGCTGCTCACAGAGCAGGAGCGGGTCAGGGCGCTCACGGCGGAGTGGAGCCACAGCCGAGTCGACCAGCAGGTTCGCGAGTTGCGACATGCTCTGAGAATTATCCCCGCTTATTTCGGTTCCAACTTGAACCGAGAGTGGGAGAGCTACTTCGAAGCTGCTACGGAGCAGCTTCAGATCACGATGATGCTGCTGGAAATCGTGCACAACAGAGACTATAGACTGCTTGAAGGCCTCGAAATGGAGGAGAAGAGTTAGTGCTCCTGCTAGCTCTCCGGAGAGACTCCTTCTGCTGATCTTGGCCTTGCAAAACGTCCGGCCGGAGGCGTAGGTGATCGTAGGTGTTTGTAGGTGGTCACTCTGGGCCACCTGGCTAAGCAGGTGGCGTAGGTGGCGTAGGTGGTCTTATTCCCTTACCTTTCCATGGATCTGGAGGCGTAGGTGGTGTAGGTGGCCTGCTTTTCCTTACTTCTCAGGTCGGGCCAGGCGTAGGTGGTGTAGGTGGCGACCCTGGCTTTAGGCCTTCAACATGGGGGCCTGGCGTAGGTGATTGTAGGTGGTACTCTGCGGCTAAGCTGCCGGCAGGAGCTTTTCTGGAATCGCTGCTGTCTGTTTCTTTGTGGATTTAGGAAGCAGAAGTAGAGCTGCAGACTCGTGATTTCTTGGCCTCCGCAGCTACCTACTTTCAGCTTCTAGTTTGCCCCTCTCCTCCTAGCTTGCCCAGACCGCAGCCATGGTTGCCACCTTCGAGGACGCTCAAGGCGAAAGCCTCGAAAGCCAGACCCAGCCCTTGCAGGACACGGCAGCGGAGCCGCAAGCTTGTGTACTCTGCCAGAAGACCTTCGCGGCCCAAGACCTGACCGGGCGGTGGACAAGCAAGAAGTGCAAGACCTGTGCCGCTCTGGAGATGAAGTTGTGGCGGCAGCTCGGGTCCTTCGAGCCATGGAAGAATACCACCGCGGCAGAGAAGGCGGAGTTCTACAAGGGCTCAGGCGACTACAAAGACTGGCCGACGCTCGAAGCTCGTCTCACGGACGTCCTCACGTCCCGTGCCGTTCGCTTCCAGAAGGAGTGTGAGAAAGGTGAGTACTTGCCGGCTACGGTGTACTTGGCGAAGGGCTTTACCCAAGAGCACATCGACAGTTGCGATGATCGCCGCGAGCATCCCCACCTCGGCGAGACTATCAGAATCCCGATTCAGTCTCGCAGCACCGGCGAGATCAGGGAGTCGATTCAGGAGGAGATCAACAAGAGGGTCAAGGACGTTCGCAAGAAGAAGGGGGACCCGACCACAAAAGACTGGGACCTACCGTCGCACACCTCCAAGGAGAGTCAGACAGCAAAAGCGGAGACAGCCGCCAAGAAAGCGGCGGTGAAGGCGAAGAAGCAAGCTGTAGCCGTGGCACAGTCCTCCTTGGCCTCGGTAACCTCACTGTGGTGCTCCGTCAGCACCTGGGAAGGGAAGGAGACCGACCCGGAGCTGCTCGCCAAGCTGAAGGACCTGAAGTGCAAGCTGGGCACGTGGAAGCTTTCGGCCGAGCAGGTCCTCGCGAAGAAGGACACCGAGGAGGTTGTCCCCCTTGCCTTTTCCAAGAGCGACCTGAAGACCTTGAGCAAGGAAGTCCAGGACGTGCTGGGGGACTGCAAGCAGGCCCAGAAGGAGAAGACCAGGTTGAAAAAGGCCGCAAAGGAAGCGAAGCCGGCAGCGACGGAGGCAGAGAACCCGCCTGCCCCAAAGAGACGCAGGGTCAACAAGGGCAGCTGAGCCGTCGCCGAAGTAGGAGGTTTCACGTGATCCTCCGCCCAGGTAGCATGAATCACCGCACGCAGGCATGCATCTTGCAAGGCCCTAGTTTTTTAGCAGCAGGTAGTTTTTTCGTCTAGCTTTCTATAATTCGATGCAATCTAATTCAAGACAACGAGAACAGATGCAGACCACTGAGGACGAAACAAGCAAGGAGTTGCGAAGACCATGGTCAGAAGCGTCGTTGTGCACAGCTTGACTCTTTCTGCAGCCAGTTCTGCTCCAGACCCTGTGTAGCCAGCCTCGCCCCTGCAGTGCATTGTACAGTATGCGGCAGCGTCAGGCTTGTCTGTACAACGCATAATGTAATATCTGTCCAGAATATTCGAACTGGCAGGCGAGCCCCGACACCACGAGGCGTTCGTTGAGAGAACGTTCGCGGTCCCCCAGGGCGACGTTCGAATGGCGCTGGTGTTGGAAGAAAAGCCTCGACCTGGGCGGTGCCGTCGTGTGGTGGTGGAAGTGGTTCAAGTATCCATTGGCCCGGGACCACACTTCGGCAGAAGCCAGCGAGCCGGCCGCGGCATCGTCGCGGGGCACGAAGCGGAGGTGCGAGAGGTCTGAGTCAGAGGACTCCGAGCAGTAGCTGCCAGTTTTTGCAATTGCTGTGCATTCGCGGCATGTCGCATGTCACAGCAGATGCACTGTATAGAGAGTCTGCTCAAATCGAATTTGCTTTCGCCACTGCCGTGGGACTGCATGCCCGTGAAAAGCGTGAGCCCTTCACAGCTGGAAGTAGTGCAAGCTTCGGCCTTCTTCTAATAAGCAGCCCGATACAGATCCCCGTCAGGGCTATATGCGGCCGTATTAGTTGGAAGCTGTGAGCTGGAGGGCAGTAGTGCTTGCCCTGTGTCTGTACGGCATCATGTCTATACTTTCTTGACAGGGAACCTATATATGTGGCTGCGTTGGTTCAAATACATGCAGGGAAATCCTTTAGGGCAGACCGCATCCCTCCCCGTACTGTCCGCGGCTGAAGGCCATGTCGAAGCAAGCTCGTGCGGTGCTCCAGGACGAAGGTCGTGCGGTGGACCTCTACTTCGGGAAAAACAAGGTAGGGTTCCATGGAGATTTCTTTCTACACCCGAAACCCTACTAGACCCTATCCCTAAACTTGCTGCATGAATATAAGATCTCCAGGCCCAGATGAGAATGATGACACTGAAGCATGCTTTCGCTTTGTCTGCGAATGCAACAGTCTGCGAGCACGTCGCCCTGCACGGTTGGGTTCACAAGGGCCTAGAGCCTGATGGACGTTTCCTGGACGCTCAAGCCCTGGTCCAAGGCAGAGTCGTGCAGTTGAGGAACTGCAAGCGAAGCCGCCACTGCAGCCCCAAGTCGCGGAAGACACGCAGGCTCGGTGACAGCAGCTCCCCTGCAGACTCCAAGCAGCCCTCGGACACACCAGGGAAACTTTTGCGGAAGGAAGAGATGGCCATGCTAACACAGCGAAGTGTCAGCGACCAGCTCAACTGAGTTAGTACTTGTGTACAGAGCAAACGTGGTTTGACCCACGATCGATCGCAATAACAGAGGAAAAAAAAAGCTTTGCTGCTCTTTGCAAGTGTTCCACATCACGATAATAATAATAATAACTTGACCGCGTCTGAATGCTGCATACCTGCCTCCGGAGAACCAACTCAGCTCAAGAGGATGTAGCGTCCTGTTGCCTGCCGCCCATGGAAACCTCGAGGAAACGGAAGCGAGACGAGCTGCTTTGTCTTCCGAGCAGGTCTGAGTTCATTGAGCGGCTGCAGAGTATACGTGGGCTTACCGATGCCCACATCGAGAAAATTACAGTTGGCCTGGGCATGCCTGCAATCAAGCACGACACCGGCCTGAAGTATGGCAGAGAAAAAGGATGCCTTCGGGACCTTCTGCTGCCAGCAGCGAAGGGAGACCCGATAAGGATCCCTGTCATGAGCCTAGCTGCGTCATTGACTCGGAAGTGCCAGGCGAACAAAGCATTCGCAGACATTTTGTCTGCGGCTGTAAAAACGGCACCTGACGGCACCCTGGATGCCCTGGTGTATGTCGACGAAGCCGTCCCAGGCAACATTGTCCAACCAGACAACCGCAGAAAAGCGTACCTCATGTACGTTAGCTTCCTGCAGTTGGCCACGACGTTGCAGGCAGAGTACTCATGGACGACGGTGGGGTGCGTCAGGCATTCTCTAGTAAATGCAGCAGCTGGAGGCTTGGCCGGCGTCATGTGCGAATTCGTTGGCCGCCTGCAAGAGGAGCTCCAGGGCTTCGCAATCCAGGACTGCACGGGCTCGCCCGTTTTGGTGCGAGCCCAGAAGTTTTGGCTGCTCGCAGATGAAGCTGCTTTGAGAGGGACCATGGCGGCTAAAGGTTCTTCCGGGGTGCGGCCCTGCATAAAGTGCAGGAATGCTTGCAACGTCGGCTACAGCATGGACTCCTTGCATGCGATAACAGAGCCAGATTTTGGGGTCTTTCGCCCCTTGCATGTCGAAAAATTAAAGGAATACCTGCAACACCTGAGCCAGCTTCCCAACCAAGCCCAGCTGGAGCGAGCCCAAACCCTGCTTGGCTGGCGATACGTGCCGCAGAGTCTCCCCTGCCGGCAACCCGACTTGATCCCTCCACAGCGGGTTCTCTACGACGGGCAACATTGCTTCTATGTGAACGGTATAGTGAACGTGGAGCTGGGACTCTTCCTGGATGCAGCGCTAGAAGCGGGTGCTCTTGAGAAAACAGCAGACCTGGCGGATGCCTTGGCAAAACATGCTTGGCAGGGTCCAGATCTGAGGGTGGCGAGACTGCTCGGTTCCAAACTCTTGCAATCCGGTGGGGAATATCGCGGCAAGGCCTCCGAAACAATGTCGGTCTTGCCTTTGGTCGTTTTCTTTGCCGAGAGAGTGCTGGCTCCTTGCGAGTTGCTGAGGGACAACGTTCGATCACTGCAGCTACTCTGCCGAATTTGTAATTATGTGCGTTTCCTGAAGCAGTCCCGGGACAAAGCGGCGGCCCGGGACATGCTCCAGCTGCAAAAGAAGCACCTTGAACTTTACGAGAAGTGCTACGGGACGGACAAAGTGAGACCGAAGCACCACTATGCGATGCACTTACCTTCCCAACTTGAGGAAAGCCATGTTCTGGCTGATTGCTTCCCCACTGAGAGGCGAAACAATCTCTTCAAGCAGGATGTGGCACCCAGAATGATGAAACTAACAGGTTTCGAACAAGCTGCCTTGCTGCGACTTGCAAGGACGGATGCCCAAATGCAAACGTCCTTCAGTTTGCAGCCAGCCTTGGAGAACCCAAGACCTGATGCAGCTCTGGCACTGCAGCTTGGCGTGGCCAAGGCCCTCTGCTCCAGGCGCCTGTTGTGCAGCAGCGGTGCTATTGAAGCAAAAAAGATCGTGTACATCTTGGCTCCCACCCTGGCGGTCAATGTGAGATGCTGGGTCCAGCTCAAAAATGACTGTTTCGGGCTTTGCCATAAGATGCACACGGTAAATGATTCCATTTCGTGGCTTTCTCAATGCAACAGTGTGTGGACAACGACGGAAGAGCACGTGTTAGTACCCTGCAAGTTCATCTTGCATACCTGTCGCGTGTCTTGGTCCCTTCAAGAAGGGACCAAAGTCACTTTGTTGCATTAATTATACAGAAATTATACTCGCTAAATCTGGCGAATGCCGAAAAAAGGTGCGATTCAGCAAAAGAATGTTTTTTGAGACTGCAAAAAGTTATTACGACTTATTCGGACCTGCAAGATAACTCAACATAACTCAACATAACTCAACATAACTTCGGGGCTACCTAGGTAGGGGTTTAGGATTAAGACTATAGGGGTAGAGCTATGTACAAGGGTGAGGGGTTGCGGGTCAGAGGTCGAGGCTTGAAGTTCGGACCGTCTTTGGCTTCCACAAGCCCTGAGCACCCAGAATATGCCAGCACGATTTTTGCGGCAGGTACACATGCAACCGTCCGCGGACCTCACAAGGACAGGCATTCAAACGTTGGCCTCGGCTAAAAGATGTCTCATTTCCGGATATGAACGATCATCTCGGGATACGCCTGGGCGCCATCAAAGATCACGAGCTCCCGGTGGACTTGCTTTGCACCGTTGCCGGACGGCGTGCCTGGGGAGGCGATCACGGAATGACAGCGACCTTTCGATGGGTCCTTTGCATCCCGCAGCGGCTCCACCTTAAGTTGCGACAGGGGGCCTTTTGCATAGTGCGGTTCGCCAAGTATCAGGCGTGTAATGATGAAGCAGCCATTTCCTTGCTTGCTGGCGCCAGAGTACTGAAAGGCCTTGCATGTCTGGTCTGTGAAGTAGACTCCTTGGCCGTAGAGCCCTCTTTCTCGTGCCAGACGCTCGTCGAAACCGAAGTTGGCGATGAGGTCGACGTTGTCTGGCACGGTACCGTGCAGCACTAGGACCTCATTCACAGTGGGGTCCAGCTTGGCCCACTGACAGCAGGAGAAACTGCTGGAGACCTGTGCACTGGTTTGGCCTTCGAGCTCCTTCTTTACCTGCTCTTTACGGAACTCGTAGCTCTTCCAAAGTCGAATATTCTGGATTTGCTCAAGCCTCGTGATGGTGAGGCTACGGCCAGCATTGCACTCGCCATGATGACCAGCAGGGCAGGCAGAAACCAGGGATTTTTGCAAAGCAGAGAAAAGCCCGTCTTCAGAGTGGACCTCAACCCTCACCGACATGTCCAACTGGCGACTCATGCGCCACGGCTCCTGCAAAGTCATGAGAACAGTATGCTCTGCTCGCGTCTTGCTGGCCTTGAGCATCAGAAGCTCTGCTTCCAAATCTGCCACCTTGCTTGTCAACATTGCATTCTCATCCACATGCCGTCTGATCTCCTTGTTCAAGCCCTCAGCCCGTGGCGAAGCTGCCGCGTTGCACCTCTGTTGTCTCCTGATGGGCCGTCTGCGGTTAGTCTTCACATTCCACTGAACCATGCAGGAGCAATCGATGCGATAGGTGTAGCCATTTGCCTTGACATGAAAGGTGTCCGAACCATTATCTCCTTTCCATCCTCTGGCCCAGCGATCCTCAAGCTCCCTCTGCATCTCGTAGCTCATTGGCTGCCAGTCCTCTCTGCTGCCAACCTCGCTGGACAAGAACTCCCAAACACCGTCGGTAGACTTCTCTGGCTGTGGGTCTAAGGAGACTTTCAGCTCGCTGTCGACGTGCCCATCCCATGGCACTTTCCAGCCGGAGACAGGAGGCGAGCTGCTCCCAGCTGCTGTCTGACAGTGCGCCCAAACCTGGTCGGACCCGACTTCGGGAGAGAACCACCAGCCTTGGAAGCTGGGGTCGTCCCTCCCGTCCCAGTAGAAGATGAGTACCGTGACTTCGGAAGTATCGTGGCTAACCTTTTTGAAGACCGGGCTGCCGTGGTTCCACTTACTTTGGGTGTACGTTCCCTTCAGGATTCGACTGACTGTGGCACTCTGCGCGCAACCAGACACATGAACGACCAGTGGCGGACGGGCGTGGGTCTTAGTCGGCAAGCGAAAAAAGGCGGGGCGGGAAGGAAGGTGGGCGAGAGCGTCGTCTAGCAGGCTAATAATTGGAGGGTCTGCCAGCTTGCGTTTTTGTTGGCTAGCCCCATGCTCCTTCAGCAAGTGTGTGTCCAATGTTCCTCGGTTAAAAACCCTGTCACACAATGTGCACTTGAACGGGTTGCTCTTCTGCCTATGGCTGGCATCATCGTTGATTTCCACGCCCAGTCTGTTTGCCAACTCTTCGCATGAGCTGCTCAACTCATACTCGCAGCCAGGCTTCACGTAACGACCCCACGCCTTCCAGCAATTTTCACAGTAGATCTTCGTCGGTTCTGAGCTGCTCGCAGTGAATTGTTGTCGAAGCCAGGTACTCATGGGCTGCCAAAGCTTCAGGACATTACTCCATTCCTCTGTTGCATCCTTGATCCAGAACCACCACCCCTTGTTCCATAAAGCCGTAGAGCCAGCCCTTGTGCCCCTGCCGCATCTACAGCAACAGGGATCAGAGCCCATGGCGGATTGACGACAGAACTGTCGACGAAGGCGAGACACTTGCTGCACAGTCTGTTTATACGACACAAGATCTCCGCAAAGTGCCCATGAAATGAGAGCAGGTTGGGCGTTTATGCCGTTCAAAGTACCTAAAGCAGAAATCCCACCCCTGAAACCCATGAGCACGTAGTGAGACACTGCCTTCCTTCACGGAGCCGAAGCAAAGGACCGTCCGATTCGATTGCAGAACCGGGACGAAGGCAGGCTTGACTCGGAGTGACTTGACAAAGCTACATGCCGACTCAAAGAAATTTAGTCTACAGCGTGCCTCCGCTCTAAACTAATCATCCTGGCTTGAGGAGGCCATGGACAACCAATGAATCGTCAAGATCTTTCAAGAGTACAGGAAGCCCACAGAAACCTAGAGCTTTCCTTTGCACACTGGCCTCCTGGGATGTGATCAGCGCCACGGTCGCCGACCAGATCGCTTCACTCCACCACCAGCCTTCTGCGGCCTCGGGGCAAAGAGGTAAGGGGGTTCTGCGTGGAGGGCTCCGGGGTTCGATTAGGGCTTTGCGGTGCGAGGGTGAATGAGGATCAGGATTTGCAAATGTACGGATTGAAGGTTTATAAGGGGCTGTGGTACCGGGTCACCAGAAAGAATACGACGTGCCCACGCACACACACACACACACACACACACACACACACACACACACACACACACACACACACACACACACACACACACACACACACACACACACACACACACACACACACACACACACACACACACACACACACACACACACACACACACACACACACACACACACACACACACTGTAACAATTTGGAGGACGGTCGGCTATAGGTTTACAGCATTTAAGTAGGATTGCCCAAGTCCTGTCGACCTAAGAGATACTTATCCGCCTGTTGTTACCGCCAAAGCACCTCCAAGTACGGGTGGATGGTGCTACAAATCAGGCGTTCGAGTTTAGAGACGCGGGCAAAACCCCAGAACCATGCTTGCGTCACCACCCAAACACACAAACACACGAATCTCCGGAGCTCTGAAGCGAACGGCACAATCCGCCGAGGCCAGAGGCCCAGGCGTTTTGGTGGTTACCTCACGTACCCTCCACCTAATCCTCCTCCCTGCAGCCCAAATGATTGGTGACACCCTGTTTTTGCGTTCGTTTGCCACCCCCTTACCCGGCTTCCCCTCATTTTACCTGATTTGTCGGCCTCCCCCCCCTCCCAGGCCTCCCTTCCCTCATTTTACTTGATTTGTCTCCCCCCCTCCCCTCCCCCTCCCCCTCCCCCGTTTTCCTGGCACTTCGTATCAACAACCGTGTAAAGCTTGGGGTTTGACAGGCCGCACTAGCATAAAAAAACATCGACTGCCCCCTCGCCCTGCCGCTACACAGCCGAGGCGGGCGGCGTAGCGTTAAAATTAGAGCTGCTTCTTCACGTCTAAACTCTTCACGGTGCCTTGACGCGGCCTATCGCCTGCCAATGCAGCTCCAGAGCTCAAGCCCGAAACAACCCCACTCCCCGTACCGAACATGCTGTGGCTCTCCCCGTCATGGGTGTTCAAGGCCCCCTCGAATGCTGAGAACCTCTTCCCGGCCCCACCGCGAAAGAGACCAGCCCAAAAGAGAATCACAAGTGTCCCCATCCGCAAGGATCGATGAGACGGATTCCCACCTTGAGTCTCCACTGTCGAAGTCACAGCCTCGCTAAAAAAAACCCAAACCCCCATCCAGGATTCTGGGCATCACTGTAATCTGCGGCGATCTCTGGGCGTGGCCTCCAATACATGCGACTTCGGCGATTTAGGGGCGTGGATAAGTCGAGCAGAATACTATATCTTGGGGGTTCCTGATTATGATTATAGTATAATAATGGGCCCCCAAACCCTATTCTACTTATCAGCAGGCATCCGATGTTGTGGGATTGAAGGTTCAGGGGGTCAGTTTCCGAGCTGAGGGAATCTGTAGAAAACTTTCCAAACCACCCGGTTCCTTGTTACCATGCCAGACGGGACTTCACTGGAACGAACCCACCGTGTTGATGCACATGCATGAAAGCAGGGCGTCATGGAGGGGAATCCCACATGCTGTGTCACCTCAGGTCCCGAGTGGAGACTCCCGAAGTAGTCCCATCCCGTCAGTCTACCCTACTGTCACCTCGTGGAGGTTTGCGGACTTTACGAGCCTGACAACTACAGTCCTAGATATGATGCTTTCTGCTGCTGGACTACACAAGCCCTGAACTGTTCACTCCTCGACTTTGAAGGTTTACCCTCTCATACACTCTCGGCACCACAAGTTGACAAGAGACGAGCTAAATCCACAAATGCAACTGCCTGTGAATCCTGACACCCGCAAGCTCCATACAACCAATAAGCGAACCCTCCCCAAACAATCAACAGCTGGAACTGAACCTTAAACCCAGCCCGAAAGCTTTTCAAGACCTTGTAGGCTGTGGCCGTCCTGAGCCAGCTCTCCAGATCCACGTCGTCCGCGTCCTCGGAGCCTTTGTTTAGGGCTGCAGAAGTTGAAGGCACTGAGGCTTAGTTGGGGTTTGACGGCTGGGGTTTACGGCCGACGCGGTTGGGCTTCATGCTGAGCTGAAAGCTCGTGGCTTGGGGATTGGTTGTAGCTTGTCGGCTTGCACAAAGCTCGTCGGCGACGTGGCGTAGCCCAAAGCCGCAAAATCTTACAGCCCTAATCCGTGTACCCTCTACTAACTCCAGAGTCAAAACATACCAAAACCATGAAGCCCCAACTTCAGCTTCAGGGTCATAGTTGAGAGTTTTCAGGTCCAGGGTTCCCACCTATAAATCTGGAAAGCTGATCCTCTAACCAAGGACCCCGAACTGGAAGATCTTCGCCCCACACCCAAAATTAAAACTTTAAGACCCCAAACCACGGCCTTTGCCTAAACTTTTGGCCCTAGACCTCTAGCCTCTAGCCAAACCCTAAACTTCCCAAAACCCGAAACCCCCAACCCTACTAGACCCTGAACCCTAAACCCTACTAAACCCCAAACCCAAAACCCTGCTAAACCCCTAGTAAACCCCAAACCCTACTAAACCTTACTAAACCTTGCTAAACCCTACTAAACCCTACTAAGCCGTACTAAACCCTTAAACCCGACTAAACCTACTACCCTACTAAACCCTACTAAACCCTTATATGCACCCTACTAAACCCCACTAAACCCTTAAACCCTACTAAACCCTACTAAACCCTACTAAACCCTTAAACCCTACTAACCTACTAAACCCTACTAAACCCTTAAACCCTACAAAACCCTTAAACCCTACTAAACCCTACTAAACCCTACTAAACCCTTAAATCTTACTAAACTCTACTACCCTACTACCCCCTGCCCTACTAAACCCTTATATACACCCTACTAAACCCTACTAAACCCGTAAACCCTACTAAATCGTTACTAAACCCTAAGCCCTACTAAAGCCTGAGGCCTCCCCTCTCTCCTCTTTCCCTCACGGCTCAGCGCCGGACCGAGCTCCACATCTTCCAGTCTGGGTCCCTGTCACTGGGCTCTTGTTAAGGAATCAAAGTAGGGATCTATAAGGGCTCCTTTAAGGGATCTATAAAGCGGTCTAGGGTTTAGGGCTTAGGTTGTCGAACCTATCTTAAGTTACCATAAATTTACAGTTCCTTTAAGGGTTCCCTTTGAGGGATCTATAAGGGTTCCTTTCAGAAGATAGGGATATGTTACCAGAGTAAGATCTATAGTAAACAATATGGTTTCCATATTATGGTGTTTACGTAGGTTAAAAACCTTAATGTAGGGACACCCTGGGCCTATAACCCCAAAATAGGGTTCATATAAAGAACCCTAATCAAGGCCCAAGGTTTCTTAATCAGGTTCCTACATTAACAAAAACCCAGTTCAAGGTCTCTGGCGGCTTTCAGGTTGTTGGGCTTTGGGATTATGGCTGTGGGTTGTGGGTTGAGGGGATGTTCAGGCTACTGTATACATTGTTCCGTACAGGGCCCTGTTCGTAAGGGTTTTGGTTTCAGGGCCTGAAGAAGCGAAAATTGGGACCTGTCATGTGGGTGGTTGCCAAAAGTATGATCCCTTTTGGGGTCCCTATTATAGTACGGCACCCAATATTTAGGGTACCCCAAAAAGGGATCCTAATTTTGACAACCACCCATGTATGAAGCGTGAAGGATTAATGACAATTACGGCCCGCAAGTCTCCGCGGAGTGTTCAAGGCAGATTAGGATTTGGGGTGTGGTTCAGTCAGGTGTGGACCACAGGAGAGGACTTCGGTTCTTCAGGGTTTTGCACAATTCGGAGCTTGAGGATATAGGGTCTTGGGGATCGGGTTGGGAGGTTTCCCTGAAGCTTTGACAGTCTGAACCAAGGGAACATAATGTACCTAAGAGCGACCCCGATGACCCCAATTCTTTCGGGATCCACGGTTTGTCCTATAGGAATGGAGGAGCAGAACAACTAACTAACTGCCATGTGGCCACTACACCGGGCTCTGGGACTGTGGGGTCAAAGCCGGGGTGGTAACCTTAGGTCACAGACGAGGCCTCCTCCTCCACCGCCGCCACGGCCGAGCCTCCCAAAAATGGAAACCTTAAACTTAAAACCCTAAGCTTGGTCCCGAAGTAGATGGCTTCAAGGGCAGAGAGGGACTGATGCTGAGGCTCTCAAACGTATGTGCATGGTATGGGCACTTAAACAGAATGATGCTACACGCTTTTTTCTGGGGGGACGGGATTGGTAGGTGTTTGCCGTTCAGCGAGGCAGCTAGACCTTGGCTCAGCTAAACGGAGCTGTCAACTCTCCTCCCTACTCAGGGACTGTGTTCGGGGGTTCCTCTGAGCAATTCTTCATCTGTGTCCACCCTTGCATGCGATCCGTTTCCGCCCGCCGTGCCTCATGCTGTCGAAAAAGAATTGCCGCCTCTTCCAACCCCTCTGCCATCTGCAGAACTATCTGCTCAACCCGATGCAGTTCCT